GTCAGTACCGGATTGTGAATAGTAATGATAACAGTGTTAGGAATTTTTGGTTAGGAATGATGATAGTGTTAGAAATTTTCTTGATTTGGTTATGAGAATGAGAAGATTCGTGCCACATTAACAGAGACATTAATTCTTGCCCTATGATTTGTTTTGTTTTATTTAACTAATTTAATATGAATGTAACATTAAAAGCGTCTGGGCAGATATCTAGTTATATTACTAATAGAGAAATCGGGGAGAGAAACTAAGTTTCATTTTTAGAGTAATAATTAAGATAAAATTCTATGTGTAATTATTTTATGTGTTCTAAAAAAATAAGTTATGGAAATTGTGTTATTACCCTTGAATTTTATGCTAAATTAAACATTAATTATGATCATCTTATGATAATAGTTCAAGTAAATCCCTGAAAACATGGCTTTTTTAAAAGAAGAAAAATCAGGAAGCAGTTTTAACACAATAATCTTGATAACATTTTTTATAATTAGGGTGGATATACAGAGTTTTACTATATAACATTTTCCATGATCGATTGCCTTTTGATCATAATAGTCCAATTTGTATTTGGAATCACTATAAAATAATGTGACCAATAACGTTTAGACACAATTAATGGAATCAAGCAAGAACTCCCACAAATTAACCTTAATCCTAAAGTAAATCAGAGAGAAAACAAAGTTATATATATATAAATTGTTTATCCAAATGCCGCTCTTTTATTCGAATTCTAATTAATTTCGTCTTTGTCTTTACTACTTGATAATTTTTTTTTTTTTGTATTCTATATATTTATATTAGTTCCACGCTAATTATTTAATGTGTCAAATAGTGTTTACTCAATTAATATAAAAATTAAACATTTAATATTGTTCATTATGTGTATTTTTTAAAAAATATTTTTTATAAAAAATATAAATTTAGATTTATTTACCCGCACAACGTGTGGTTTAACATCTACCTACTTGAAGTAAAATATTACTCTAACAACCACAGCTAGGTAATTTAACAAGAACAACGACTATTTCAAACCATGACTTGAGTACAGAACAACATTACTCTTACGATAGCAAAGCTAACGTTAGTACCTTATCTCTATTTCTAACAAGTAGGTACGAAACTAATTAACATGCACGTTCGAAATATACTCTTACGTTTTAAAACAGTGTCTACTTTAAACTTTTATTTTAGTTTAATTTGTATTAAAATAAACAAGCGAACTAGAAAAAAATTTTGGGACAAAAGAGTATTATTTTTGGTTTTTTTTTTTTTCTTTGCCTTATGGAAAAATAAGTCAGCATCCAACTCAAAAGCATGACTTACCATAATCGTGTGACAATTTTGGTTGCCGATTATATATGGCTCTCTTTGGTCCTAAAAAGAAAATTAAAATGTTGTATGTTTCCCCAAATAAGATTCAAACCGTCGTTAGAATACAGTGTGTCGATATTCTTTTTGCTTATGGAACTTTTTAGTTTAATGCATTAGCCATTTTATCTCTCTTCAGTGTAAAAGAAAATAAGAAACTAACTAAATAATTAACATTAATTTCTCGCAACATGCATGTCTAATCTTATTGTGGTGAAGCCGGAAGTCCAAAGACATTATTAGTCCTTCTACCATTAATACACGGAATTAAAACATGCATGCAGATATATTGAACTAAGGTACTCTCTCTACGCAAATTCTATTGTTTCATACTTCCTCCGTCCTATAATTATTGTCCAGTTTAGATTTTTCATTTTTAGTTCAAATTATACTAAAAGTGAATTCTCAAACTAGACAATAATTTTGGGATAGAGGGAGTATTAAGATAGGACCGGATTCAGAAAGTTGCATAACAACTTCCTTTGTGTTCATTTTGCGGGCCGGAGGGAGGAGAGATTTCGGAGTTGACTTGCCGGACTGAACCGGCTCTTACTACATTCATCTCTTCTCTGATTTTCTCATATTTGGACACGTACCGGATTGTAGCACTAATTAGTCATTCATTTGATCTCCAAAAATGTCATCTTAAACTCTTAACTGTGTGAATCATCTTCTCGATTGGTATAGCAGATAACGCTATTTTTATTTATCATCTGACATGTAAATAATAATATTTTTTTTTTGGGGGGGGGAGGGAGAATCCACGGGCCACATTCGAATGGATGGAATACTAAATCTGATATAGAATATGATACACGTTCCGTAATTAATCTTTCGGATCATTGTAAATTTTGATCAACTTCCTAGCAATAACAAAATGAACAAAGAAATCTGAAGATCTGCTGGTTATTACTATGATCATTGTAAATCTGCTTCTTGCCCACAGTAACGGTTGATCCCAAAAAAAAAAAAAAAGAAAAACGAAAAAGAAAATAGAGACGAGTTAATGTCACTAATATCTGATATTTTTGTAATCAGATTACTTCCATTTTTCATTCTCTTCGTCTAACTTAATAGTTTAATATAATACCCATTAATAAAATAGAATCGGAGGAGCAAACTGTAAAAACATCCACAATGTTGGTAATTAATAGCATATAAATAATAAGCACCTTATTGTAAGAACTGTTACACTGCATAACACATTATTATTGAGTCAACATATGATTAACGTGGGTTCATGATAAAAAAGGAAAACACAAACCAAATATCGGACGTATTTAACTCATTATTACACAACCAACCAAAATAATAATGATAATAATAATAATAATTGAAATTAAAATAAAATCTTAATCCGAGTTTTGTATGGGAACGTTAATGTCGGCTGCAGTTGGGGGTTGAAACTGGTGGAGCTGTTCATAATAGCAATAGCAAAGTGCATCCTTACAGAACCAACGCTTACACCCAATTGGACAAATGGATTGGCAATCTTGGTCATTCCGGCACCCGATCGGACCTACCGGACCCCTTGCTTCCACTCCTAACAAAACGACACCAATTCAATCTTAATCAAATTTCATTAATCATATCTGTCTGTTATCCAAATTATATTATGATGAAAATTCAATATTGTAGATATATATATATATATATTATATGATCCGCGATATGAAAATTGCCTAGTAAAAAAACAATAAAGCGTTCAAAATGATGCGTGAGTTTGGATTGAAAATCAATCACTACATGATGAAAGTGATCGGAAAAATTGATGTGATAAACTTACTGGTGTGGATTGTGCACAGAGCTAGGATTAATAACGTTATCAACTTGACCATGCTCCTCATCTCTTCTGGATCTTTGTTAATATTTGCCAATAGTTGCATATTTTGAGTGGTTTTTTTGACTCGTATTTATAGATAGATATCAAAGGCCAATCTAACATTAATTACCGTTTGAATTTTTATTCTAATTGCAAGATTCGTAAGTAATAACTAATCAAATCTATACTGCTACGTATATATATATATATAATGCCTTAGACGTACGTCTGCGGTCTGTCATATTTTCAAGATTACGCAGGATCTTCTTGGTCATTTAAAACTCATGATTTCACTACGATCCCCAAACGTAAGAGGATAACCAATCAAACCTTATCAATTAATCACCGAAATTCTCAAACAACAACAATTTACTAATGTCTAATGTTTTTTTTTTTTTTTTTATGAAAATGTAAAAGTATTGAGAATATATATATTAGAAAAACACCTTTTACAATGTAAACAACTAAAATCTAATAGTCTCTGATCATTTTCAACATTATATAGTTCTATACTAGTTATTACATATCGTACTTGGCTGAAAATTATAGTTCAAAATGCATTGTACTAATCAATCGATGTTTGTAACTTTGTAGCGTTTCTTGGTTCAAAACGTTGGAACTGCAATTCAAGCCAAGAAGAAAAGGTGTGTCTGGTTAAATACTACACTGATACACATCACGTACGAGTGTGTTTTTCTTTCTATTAGTTTTCGAAATTTTAGCCCATTTTCAACATTCTTGATCTAAATTTTTTATATTCTTAACACAACATCAATTCAACAGCAGCAATAAATAACACAAACAAAAATTTAATACTATTCAGCGAGGGGGATCAGTCACTGTTGCCGACGGTGAACACTCTGCGAATATGTAAAAAATTTAATATTGTGTCTTCATTTGATAAATTCCGCAAACACACATAAAAAAAAAAAACTTCAAATAGGATTTTGTTAAACCGGCAATTACATGTCAAGGCCGTAACAAAAAGAACATATGGTAAGAAAAAGTATGCATAGATTATACCTATATTTTCATGCTGAACCAATATAATAATCTTCATTCATATTTGATTAGTCACTTCTATGTGGAAATTTTGGCTTTATCTCCCAAAATAATTTCTCACCTCAAATGCAATCTCACATGAAACAGCTACGAGTATTTCCTCCATGGTGAAAGTGTCACACCAAAACTAAAAAGTGAAGAAACACAGATATCCAGCCTGGAATTCAGGAAATCCAGAAGCAGCACATCTTCTTCTGAAAAGGGGAAAATAAAAACAAATACAAACAACAGAAGAACACACAAAAGTCCCCCAATTCTTTTGAAAATTTTAAATCAAACAAAACTAATAAAATTCCGTCCACTTTTTCCCCAATTTTTTTTTTACGCCAAACGTATGATGCAAAAGCCAAAAGCAAAAGAAAAGAAGAAAGTGCCTCACCAAAGCTTATCACCCAACACCTTTTTTTTTTCACAATTTTTTTAATCTTTGTCGGTCCACAAGGTCATTATTGTAAATTAGACAGCACATTTACTACTACTACATTCCAGCAGGCTTCACTTCTTTACAAAGGAGAGACTAATTGCTGCTTTGTCCCTACTCCCTTTCGTTTTCCCAGTCTTCATCATCTTCTTCCCACCAGCTTTCTTTCCACGTTATTTATTCCATCAATTCTAGATCTTGTTAGTCAAAACTGTTTTTATTTTAGATTACATTCTCTCAACTACGCTTTTCCAAAATGCAAACTTTATTTGCTGATTCTGAGACACAACAGGATGATTCAACAACAAAACCTCAACAGTTTCTTTAATGGGAAAGTCTATTAATCTTTGCTCCTTTGTCCTCTACATTGTCTCCCTCTCCATACTTTACTTCCTCCCAGGTAAAATTGAATCAAAACCCAGTTATAAAAATTCAATCTTGGAATGTGTTTTTCTGCTTAACGTTCTGTTTTACAGGGATAAAGGCACAACAAGGAGGAGGACAAGAAGAGCCTTATGTTGGTGTGAACATTGGGACGGATGTTTCCAATTTGCTTTCCCCTGCGGACCTAGTTTCCTTTTTGCAGCAGCAGAAAATTACACACGTCCGGCTTTATGATGCTGATGCTGATATTCTCAAAGCCCTTGGTAAGACCAAGATTAGAGTCATTGTTAGTGTGCCTAATAACCAGCTTCTGGCTATTGGGTCCTCCAATACAACAGCTGCCTCATGGGTAGACAGAAATGTGGCTGCATATTATCCAGAAACTTCCATCATAGCCATTGCTGTTGGTGATGAAGTGTTGACAACAATCCCCAGCTCCGCCCCTTTGCTTGTTCCTGCAATTGAATCCCTCTACAGTGCTTTGGTGGCTGCGAATTTGCATACCCAGATTAAGGTTTCAACCCCCTGTTCTGCCTCTGTTGTTTTGGACCCTTTTCCACCTTCTCAGGCATTTTTCAATCAGTCTTTAAGTCCTGTCATTTCAGAGCTTCTGCAGTTTTTGTCGAGAACACAGTCACCAATGATGATGAATTTGTATCCTTATTATGTGTTTATGCAGAACAAAGGAGTTGTCCCTTTGGATAATTCATTGTTCAAGCCATTGACACCTTCTAAAGAAATGGTTGATCCCAATACCTTGTTGCACTACACCAATGTGATTGATGCTATGATTGATTCTGTGTATTTCTCTATGAGGAATCTAAATGTCACAAATGTTTCAGTATTGGTTACTGAGACTGGTTGGCCATCCAAGGGGGATTCCAAAGAGCCTTATGCTACTCTTGACAATGCAGATACTTACAATTCCAATTTGATTAAGCATGTTTTTGATCGTAGTGGGACGCCCTTACATCCCGAGATCACTTCTAGTGTTTATATATATGAGTTGTTCAATGAGGATTTGAGATCGCCACCAGTTTCTGAGGCTAACTGGGGGTTGTTTTACGGCAATTCTACTCCGGTTTACCTGCTTCATGTCTCTGGAAGTGGTACATTTTTGGCTAATGATACTACTAATCAAACTTACTGCATAGTCATGGATGGAGTCGATTCGAGGACACTTCAAGCTGCATTGGATTGGGCATGTGGACCAGGGAGGGCAAATTGTTCAGAGATTCAGCCAGGGGAAAGTTGCTATCAGCCTAATAATGTGAAGAATCATGCTTCTTATGCATTCGATAGCTATTACCAAAAAGAAGGAAGGGTCCCTGGTTCTTGTGACTTCAAGGGTATGGCCATGATAACAACCACTGATCCAAGTAAGTGTGACTTTTTTTGTTTTAAATAAGAGGGGTAGAGTGTTTTAATTTTGTTGTTAATTGTCACACATTTGACATATAACGGCTAGTATTCAATTCGATTGTGACAATGGGGCACACAATGTGGTTGGTGCCTTGATTGGGAGGCAATAGTTATAAGCATTGAAACCACATTTTTTGGCAAAGGTACAATGCCTGGAAAGGGTTACAGCTTTGTTGATGCTTAATGCCACACTGCTAAGTAGCAGAAATAGACCCCAAGTGTGATACTGCATTTATGGAAATCGGCAATACATGAGTTTCAAATGGTGGTGGCCTTGTGGTGGGGGTAACGTTATTACTTTAGGATCTGATTTCAAGGTAGGTTCGTTCGCATAAGCTTTAATCAATTTTCCATGGTTGTGAATTCAATTCCTGGTATATCCCATAACTCTAGTTTTGATGGCTTAACTGGAAACGTAGTGCTTGGAAATTTTCACCTTCAACTTTTAGGCTAACTGTAAAAGACATAGAAACAACACTGGGGAGGAGCACAGCTTTAAAATGGTTAGATGTCCATAAAAAAAATTCATTACACTAACCACTTCTGAATATTTGAAGTTACTTCTTAATATTTACCACTACTAAAATTTTCTCATATTATAGTCTGTACTATTCATTTCTTGGAATTATTATGTGAATGATATGCCTGCTTCGTGTTGCAGGTCACGGGACATGTGTATTTCCCGGAAGGTAAGCTGAAATTTCCTTGCTTGATCCAGTACATGTCTGTCCTTAAGTTGATGATTGATAGGTCCTCTGTCTAGCAATAATTCAAATTGCATTTCATGTGGTATCTAATCTTCAAGCTAGACATTTTTTCTTTTGAGTTAATTTATTGGCAATTTGGCATTAAAAAGATATAACTTTTGTATGCAGTAAGAAGATAAGCAATAAAACTAGCCAGGAAGTGAACTCAACACAAGCTAGTAATGCCATTGCTGTAAGATTCACTGGCTTCCATGGTGCTGGATTAAGTGCTTCATTAACGGCACTTCGCTTAATAGTAGGGGTTGCTTTCTGTTTGTTGTATTCATTGATCATTCCATGAACAAAATCTCAAGGTACCAATGCATTACTTAAACTGTAAAAGGCCAGCATTTGTTCCATTTTAAGTGGACTCATTTCGGTGTTTTGTAGCAGAGTAAGCCTGATTCTTTACTCTTTTGGATGCCCATCATACACTTTGGATGGAACATGAGCCACATTTTCCTGGGGCCTCAATACCATTATAAAATTATTCATGTGATTCTTGGAAGAGCCTCCTCAGGCAGCAGCAGCAGCAGCAGCAGCAGCAGCAGCAGCAGCAGCAAGAAGTGGGGTTCTTGAGCCTTAATAATGACCAACATGGAAAAGTTACATCTGCAAAATCTTCTGGTCCATCCATTTCTTTGTTCTTTTGTCATTCATGACTCGGGGAAATTATGTACTAGCTACTCCTTGTTGTGATATGTATTATTCTCTTTAGGGTTTGCATTTGTGGATAGAAGAGAATGTAGGGTTGTATTTGTTCCATAATCTTCTCCTTAATCCTGTGTATTTTGTAGCAAGTAGCGCTAGCTAGTTAGTAATTAGTAATCATATTGCATTTGATAGATTGGAATAAATAGCAGCAGTTTCAATCCAAGTTGCTTGCACCTATGTAGATGGAAATTCCTTAGTGTGTTTTGTTTGTGTTCATTCATTTTATTTTCTATTTGGAAATCCATACAGTGTTTATGCTCATTTTGATTTTGGGTTATATATTTCTTGGGCCTGTGGACGAAGGCAAACATGATGTAGAAACCATTGCTGTCCATCACTAGCAGTGACTGATTGGGGCTTGTGTTACCAAACCCAAACCCATTGTTTTTACACAAAATCATAAGATTTTATTAAATGTGATAAGGATTATTTGTTGTAAACAAGTCCAAATCCATTATTAAAGCCCAAATCCCTTTGTTTTATACCGTATCTTTTCCCCCTCGAAAGTCGAAACGTAGATGAAGAAGAACACCCCAATTACTGCTGCAAGATGGAGCAACCCGACCCAAAAGCGGCAAAATGCTTCTCACACGATTTCAAATTCGAGGGATTCCTATCAGTATTTTGAGAAGCCCAAACAAAAAACCCCAACAAGAATTCCAAGACTTCAACTTTGGGAATGATGTCGAACCAGTCCTGGTCTTGTTCAGTCTGCACTTTTATCAACCCTTCACCTTCTTCGTCGTCTTCTTCATCCCAGAAACCCAATTGCCAAATTTGCCTCTCGCCTCAACCGTCGTCCTTGTCGTTGTCATCGTCGTCTTCCCTCACCAAGCCCAAATGGTCGTGTAAAGCTTGCACCTTTTTGAACCCTTATGAAAACACCAACTGCGATGTTTGTGGGACCAGGGTTTCTGCTTCTCTTCTGTCCAGTGTTGAGGTTGATGATAGCGAGGTTGATGGGGTGGGGTCCGGTGTTGGCAATGTTTTCTTGCCTTTGAGGGCTTGTAGGAACAATAGTAGTATTAGTAATAGTAGTGGGAAAAAGGATCAGGGGAAAGTTCTGGAGGAGAATTCTGGTTCGGACGTTAAGGGTTTTGATCAGTCTGGTTTTAGGGGATTGAAGGCTTGTGGGAATAGTAGTAGTATCAGTAGTAGTACTAGTGGTAAGAATAATAAGAGGAAAGTGATGGAGGATTCGGTTGCGGACTCTAAGAATCTTGATCAGTCTGGTGGTGCTGGTTGTAGCGGATTGAAGGCTTCTTTGAAGGAAGTTGAATCAACGGGTCTGTTCTAATTTTCTTCATGTTTATTGCTTTGGGTGTATATGTTTTTGAGTTTTTTTTTTTTTTGGTTTGGGTGCGGTTGGTTTTCTACAATTCATTTTGTTTGTCTATCCTGTTATTGATTTGGGTGGATTGCTCGCATTCATTTATAATTTTGTGGTATAGCCAGATCGTTTACTCTATGTATGTTTTGCATGGGTTTGATTCTGATCCTTTTTTCCTTTCCAAAGACTGAACCTTTTTATTGTAGCATTATTGTTATTTTAGTATTGCATGTTATCTGTCTTGCTGGTTTTGAAGAGCAATTTCATGAAATTTTTAAGGTGCCGTGATGCTTTTGTGACGTTGTTCTACCGAGATGGTTCTGTTTCAGTATAAGAATCACTTGCGAAGTGTTGTCTGATTACATTATTGTATGGCTAAAGGAAAAGAGGTCAAAATTCCATGGTAATCCCGTGGCTTGTATTTACCACTTCCTATTGTATGCATTTAAACTTTAGTTCCCTATGTTCTGGAACTGGTATATCTTGATCTGTGTAGCTCGGACCAGTTGTTGTCATTGCTCAATACTTTTAGGCAAGAGATTAATGGTTAGTTTGGAAGCTTTCTTGGATTGATCTTGTAGTAAAAAGTAGAGTTTTGTCTGAAATAGTCTAGGAGAATCTGGTTAACCTTTAATACTAGTGGACTTCATGGATTCCGAGACGTCAAGGGAGTCTAAGTGTCGCCTACCATTACAATGTAATCATGCATTTTACTCATTTTGAGAACTTAATGTACATCAGGACCTTTTATTTACTCATCTTTTTTTGGTCTTTCATTATTGAAGAAATGATGGGCTGTGAAATTTTGTCTCTTTTTCTATTTGCAGCTGACAAAAACAGTATCCATAAGCCATTGAAGGTTTTGAGTTATAATGTTTGGTTCCGGGAAGACTTGGAGATTCACAAGAGGATGAAAGCTATTGGTGATCTTATTCAGCTACATTCCCCTGATATCATATGCTTTCAGGTTATAGTTATTCCCTGGCCTACCCCAGTTCCTTCCCAGTTTTGCACAAAGATGAAATACATCTAATGAAAGTCAATGCACCCAACTGATTGCTCCGCGTGTGTACTTGTAGTGCTAATAACATATAATAATCTTGCAGGAGGTTACTCCAAACATTTATGATATTCTCCAGCAATCCAGCTGGTGGAAGTTGTACACTTGTTCTGTATCAAATGAAGGAGCATTTACAAGAGCATACTTCTGTATGCAGGTAAATATAACATCTTGATCACTTAAACAGCTAATTCGAGTGTCTATCATGGACTGCTCAAAGTGGAATGTGTCAGGGTCCTGCAAGATGTAAACACTGGAAAGAGCTAAATGTTTATTTGCTTGTTTTGTAGCCTACAGCTCATGTCATTGTTATTTGTTACGGAAATGTTTGAAAAGAATTGCATAATAGCTTTCAGGTTCTTTGGTTATTCAAGTCTTTAGCACTATTCATGTTTTGCTGTATACATTCTATTGCTTCAAGGAACAAAGAGAAGAGAATTAACCAGAATATGTGAATAATTTGCAGTTGTCCAAACTCCCTGTGAAATCCTACTGCTGTGAACCTTTTGCAAATTCTATAATGGGACGAGAACTGTGTATTGCTCAAGTGGATGTTCAAACAGATACTCCTTTGCTAGTAGCAACTACTCATCTTGAGAGCCCTTGCCCAGCCCCTCCTAAATGGGATCAAATGTTCAGCGAGGAACGTGTTCTTCAAGCAAAATATGCCATCAAACTTCTGGAGGAAAATCCCAATGTTATTTTTTGTGGTGATATGAACTGGGATGATAAATTAGATGGTGCATTTCCTTTGCCTGATGGATGGGTTGATGCTTGGGTGCAACTTCGGCCTTCAGAAAATGGTTGGACATATGACACCAAATCCAACAAGATGTTGACCGGCAACCGGACTCTACAAAAGCGCCTGGATCGATTTGTTTGTAATTTACGAGATTACAAGATCAATGAGATCCAGATGATAGGGATGGATGAAATTCCTGGACTGTCACATTGCAAAGAAAAGAAAGTGAAGTCGGCAATAAAGAAATTGACGCTTCCTGTTTTACCTAGTGATCACTATGGCTTGCTTTTGACAATCTGCCCCCGGTAATGCCACTCTTAGTAGAATGATGTTTCTTTTGACAATCCCATCATGCCGCTGTTAAGGTATATTGTTGTTGGATGACATTACTTTTGTCTTAGAATCCTTTGCCTAGCTATTTTGCTCTGTTAAGAGGACAGATATTTGTGCTCAAAACAAAAAGCTTTCGGAGAAATGAAAGTCTGTTAAAGGATCATTTTGATGAAGGAATGGATGCCTTAAGATTTACCAAATATGCAGTGCGACATAGTTCTGTACTTGTGTGTTTTCATATACAAATTCTTTTTGTTCATTTCACAGCTCAAGGCTAGAAAATTACAGGTCGATCCATTATCCAACTAATGCAATGTTGCTGTCAGCTGAAACAAATTAATGCATCTCATCGACTAAAAGGAACCCCTAGGATAATGACCTTGAAGGAGCTTCCAATCTAATGTAATCATACAAAATTCCACAAAGAGCGTCTCCGCCTCTGGCTTGTGTTAAAAATATGTTGTTGTCTCCAATATGTAGCAAGGAGGAAGATATGTCGATACTAAAAAGACGGTAGAGTCCATGAATTCCATGTCGACAAACTGTGTTATCTGTTCCTAGATTCATCACTTGAAACACCAGGTTTTCTAAGCTTATGTTGTTAACATGGACCTGTTACACAAGCAACACGTCAGTATTAGAAAGTCCTGTGTTACAAAACATGAGCAAGCGTTTCTTTCCAGATGCTCTAACCTTGAGGTCCGAACGGGTAGCTGATGCAACTGCCAACCTTAGTTTGTAAATTCCATTAGTTAATGAAGTGAGGTTGAACTTGATTTCCCAAGTTGATGGACAATATTTTCCTACTTCCTTCCTGTCAAGCTATGCAGTTATTCTGAAGCTTGTCATGTTTTAGAATCTACCTTTTTGAGCAAAAGGACAGTTCATGCGACTTTAGGAAAGAATTACCTGTCTACATGAGCAAAAAACCAGTCTTTCTTTGGGTCGCTAACTCCTATGGTGAAAACCACATCGGACTCGGGATATAAATCCGTGTATCTGTCCCACAATCCATACTGCCTATACCTAATTTATGGTAGAAAAATGCATAATACAACATCTTGAAGCATATATCAAGTAAAGGAAGAAGGGATGAAAAGATGCTTACTTTTCAGGGCTATTGAGGAACAGCTTGTTGACATACTTCGGGTTGACCTTAGGGACATTGTATTCAATAGATGTACGGTCTGGAAATCCAATTTGCCATATTGTTGGTCCCTCCCTAAGGGGAGAAAATATCAAGTTCTCTAGCTGAACTTCTGATCCTGTGGAACGCCAAGAATGATAAAATTTGAAAAATTATGCAACAAAGTGGAAGTTTCCCTGGGAACACAACGCGGACTGGAATCCAATGATAATCAGTAATCAGGTTGACTAATTACACCTGAAAAATCATGTACCTCCTGATACTGCAACAGCTCCCTCACGAAGGTAATCCCCAATAAAACCAGGCACCCAACCATGGAGCCGGTATTCTCCTGGGACGACATTTCTGATGGTAAAATTTCCATTTGAATCCGTTTGTATCCAGAATTGATAATTCTACAGTTACAAAATTGTCTCAAAATGTAAATAAAGGGTCATGCAAGAGATGGATTTAGGGCCAAGATGATTGAAGAGGAACCTTGCTTTCTGTTTGCCAAGATCCTTCAGTTGTGGCTATTGATAGTCCAACATATGCATCTTTAGCAGCAATAAGAGATGCAGACACAAACCTGAAACATATTAGATCATCAATCAAACCATAAAACATTAGACATGCCATAGCGAGAGCCTAGAAGTTGCAAGTTTACTGTTAAATTGATTGGAAGTGGAGCATTAAACTGTTGGATGACACTGATCAACATTGTTAATATCTTCAAAAAGTTTATGTTACATTAGTTTTTGCAGAGACTCAGCTTGATCTTGACCAGAATTGCGACAGAGATTTCAGCCCCTTTAATTCTTGTGCAGATATTCCCTGAGTTCTCACATTCTTGGTGTAGTGTCAGCGATGATTTGCTGAATCAACTCTAGAAAGAACATTTCTTTATTCTTTTTGGAGGGGTTTGGGAATGTGGTTCTCACCTGTCTTGGACAAGCAATCGTCCAGAAACTGAGCCGCGTTCCTTAGCAGCAAGGTAATAGGGTGATGATACAAAGTCATATGGCCATGCTGATTTTTCAACCATCCACTAGGATAACCAGTATTACATAACCAATTAGTGATGCTAGAAGCTAGAGCAAATAGTAACTAAAATACAGCTACACAGCAGGTTGAAGATACCTGCTTTTTCGCATCAGTCCATAAGTTATAAGCTTTTGACACATCTGAGGTTGAGTTTAGGTACACAAAGAAGGGACCAAAAACTTTCCTCCATGTCTCTCCCTCTTCAAAACAAGCTTGTGCATCCTCTCCAATATAGTGTGTTCCGTGTAACATCTGCCAAGCCAAAGTTAAGGATTCAAGCAATAACGTGCTATTCATTCGTCCAAACTATGGAAAAAATCAATGGTTTTTCTGCCTCTAACGAAATGGAGCTTACTGCCAGGGCAAAAGGACCAGTATGAACTGTCAGATTTTGCTTAGTTGGTCCACCATTGCGGAACTCATGGCTAGGAAAAATGATCCAGAAACCAATAAAAGGACCAGAACTGATCCATCCATGTACTCCTCCATCTTTGTTATCCACCGAATATTGGTATTTATCATCAACCTGTTTTCCGATCACATACATGTATAAAAGTTTCCACTGATGTAAAAGTTTAGAAGATGAAAATGAAGCTTATATTAATTGACTAGATTATCTATGATTGTTATCATTTACTTGCCTCCCCTCTTAGTTCAGGATTGATTGGATTTGTAAGCAGAACAGATTCAGGTACAATTAATGGCCTGCTTCTCTGAGGCATCAAATCTTCTGGCATTGGCATTATCCTTTGTTTCTCATCACTGATTGCCATATAGTGAAACCTGCATGCATTTCTCATCTAACATTTCATGCAATAGAACTGGAAAGCCACTGTGCTGCAATCAATTAATTGAGAGAAAAAGGGAAAAAAAAAACTTCCAAATTATACTTTTCACGGCGTAGCCTGAACACCATTCTTGTCTGGGTAAGATCAAAGGCGGGACATCCTGGCGGACGCTCATAAATGGCGTAGCAGTAAAAACCCGAAACACCACTCCTCAAGATATACCTGAACAGCTTCAGCATTTTCAAAGATCATATTGAAAATGGATTTTGCAGCAATCATTAATGGATTCATTGAAGTATATATGTCAACTTGTAGACCTGAAGTCGACAGATAAAGGCAGGCTAAGGTTGGATGAGGAGAGTTGATATGTGTTCCGGAATGAAATCTCCGATTGATAATCATTGTTCTGAATCACTGAATAATCAGACCCTGTTAACCTGTTTCAACAAACAAAACCAGGTCAGATTTCCATTGATTAGTTGAATGCTAGACATATTCTGATGAATAAGTTAGTCCTAAAAAACTGAATTAAATCATACAGCTGATACTTGTCCTGCCCTCCTGGCAAGTTCCAGTTCAGGTCCCAGTATCTGTAATTAAAAAATCCAATTGCATCAATCTCTTTTAACGGTGATGGATCAGCAGTGAAATAAGCTAACAATGGGAACAATTATTAGATAGCTAGTTCTTAAAAGTACCCTCTACTTGCTTCACTAGACTTGGTGTCAAGGAGATTGTCAAGTCCTCCATACTTGATGCAAGTCAGCAATCCTTGTGGTTTTGAAATTGTTAGCTTCACCAGTCCATTCTCCAGTATTACCTGTGGGTGATACTGTGAGTTAAGGGCATAAAATTGAGAAAGAGTTAAGGTTTTAGTAGTAGAGATTTAAATGAACTAACTGACATATGATCCATGATCCCTCAATAAGCCTTCCTCTGCCATATCACTAGATTGTTGATTGTATGGTGACTTTTCCAATTATTTTAGATTTTTAGTTATTCCCACTCTTGGAATAGAAACTTTAAGGGGATTTCTCATTAATTTGTTATGATTTAAACATATTCACCTCTTTCATCGCATCAGGGGAAAAATAAAATAAAATATGGATTATGGATTTCGCGGTGATTAATTTCTCTTCTTCTTTGGAATGAACGTCTATGATTTGCTGGATATATATATCCTTTTTGTTTGTCGTCATGTATCATAATGGCACCAAAAGTTGGCAAATACATAGCTCCTAGTACTCTATGTTTTGATTTATTAGAAAATATCGACACGCTTGGTTAGTTTCAAAGCATGACCGATAAAACCTAGGTCGAGAGAATGTTTGTGAGCATTTTTTTTTTTTTTTGGGGGGGTGGTGGGGGGGTGGTTAATTTATCAATAGCAACACAAGAAAATTAAGAAAGAAATTGGTAGACCTGCCTAGTAATCTATATATCTAGACATTATGCATGTTTCGAACTATATATATGCACCGACCATTTGATGTTGAAGCATGTTAAAGTTACACGGGTAGCAAATCATTGGAAGAAAAAGGAGGCGCTATGTTCCGTATATAATTTCAGTTTTTATAATAATTTTTAGGCATTTATAGGCTACAGATTGACTATTTGTATCATGCATTCCTGTTAAGAAGGTGACTAATATTTTACTTTTTTATCCCCTATGATGATGAGAAATCCAGCAGCCTTATTGGCAACCATATTAAAATCGATCTGGGCACACCATTTATCATACTGTGTAGTATGGGATGTAACAAGAAACAATTAATTCATGTAGCCAGCTAGTGGTATCAGATTAACTAGATTGGTGAAACACTTGTAATAATAATTTATTTTAACGTGCCATAAAATCCCGGGTCACAACAGGAAAACTACACGTAGTACAATGATAACATAGTAGTATCATCCTAAATCAACAACAATATATAAGACCACAATTGACTTCAAGTACTTATAACCGGAGCAAATTTAATTAAACCCATTAATCCTTTTCCTATTTTGTGTTTTCTCAAGGAGTTATGCCTTGATCAGCTCCAGAAGCACCAACGGCAGCAGCAGCACCGTTGTTATTGTTCTGATCAGCGCCATTATTACGCTCATCTTTACGGCCTCCAAGCTCATCCCCATCTGCATTCCCAAGCCCACCGTTAAGCCCACTTCCAAACCCACCTCCAAAACCTAGACCAGGTCCGAAGCCGCCGCCCTTGAGAATGCCACCGCCCAAGTAAGGCCCGCCGTGCCCAATCAGCCCATATGGTGGGAAGAAGGGATGGAAGAAACTCTTTTCCATGTTGGGTTCGGATTTGGGCTCGGAATTCTTCATCACGTTGTTATCCATGGAAGACGAAGAAGAAGCAAGCGTCCTTGCACTTGCTACACCACAAATTAGGGCTGCAACCATCATGATGACAGCTGCCACCAAGACCATTTTGGAAGCCATTTTCCTAGCAAATCTTCTGGAAAATATAATAATGTATAGAAATGCAATTCTCTAGCTTGGTTGGGAAGGATGGACTTGGAAAAGGCGCTTATATATATGTGCGGGAGATTGAGATTTTAAGGTTGGATTCGGTGAAAGTTGGGAGGAGTTCATAATTTGGTGAAGATTGGAAGAGTAAGGTTTAATTTTGGTGTGGGAAATATGTGTTCAAACGGTTTGCAATTGGTAAAATCTAAACATTACTATCCTCATGGTTCACCTAATTCACATCAGGATATATTGATCATGTCAACATGCAACTATTAAGACCACATGATTGTTGTTCTCTACTAGTAGTATTCTCACTTTTTCCTCCGCTTTTGGTTTGACTAGTTGGTTTGATCTTAATTTCAATGAAAGGTGTTGTTTTTTAATTTGATCATGAATATTGTACGTACTGAAACACTCGAATATATATTGACCGGAAGATGAACAAACTTAGGGTCTATTTGCATGTATCCATAGCATTTCATCCCGAAACTATTAGACTACGTACATGCATGCATAGTCCAATTTACTATGTCACGTTTAGAAGCAAAATATATATAGTCTAGAAAAAAAAAAGTTAGGTAGGTTTTGTAATTCTGTCAAACTGTATATAGAGGTTAAGTATATAGTAGCTCAACAGAATGAACACGAACGGAAAATGATTTTAGTACACTAAGTAAGTAATCACCCAAGAGTGAGCTCAAGATTTATGCCATCCTCCTCATCTTTTGGTCCTGAGGATGAACACAGCAGGCTCCAGCTCCTACTTGCCTCCGCCTCTTCTTCTGTTTTCTTCTTCTTGAAACTGCTTCCCACCTGTTTTTCATTTTCTCTGGCCTGCCGGTTCAATACAATAAATAAATTTAATAAGTACAAATGGTTATCAAACTCATTTCGTTTTTATTTTATTTTTTTTTGCGAGCAAATTGATTTCCCTATATTAAAAGAAAGCTAAAAGGATATAAATATATAAATATATATATATATATATATATATATATATATATATATATATATATATATATATATACTCGAAGGAGAATGATTTTACCTGGTCATTGTTTGGGCCAAAAAAGTCCTTATAGAATGAGGGATAAGAAGAATTTGGAACTTTCCCGAGATATTCATTCCCGATATGAGATGGATCACGATTAACCCTAGGGAGATGAATCGACGTTTTAAGATCAGTAGCAAACATGCATAACTAAACAGTTTTAAAAAAAAAATGTAGGAACTAGCTAAGATGTACGTATAAGTAATTAATTGAGCGAACCATTTTGTAGGTGGAGGTACGATGGTCTGTGGTACAATAGCAGGGTCATTGTACAATTGAACTCCAATATTGTTGATGGAATGTTGTTCATAACCATTTAGAGGAGAAGGGTACGATGAACTGCCGCCATATCCCATATGACTGCTGTGATGATCATGATGATGATAATGTAGTTGAATAGGAGAGGGCGAATTAGAAGTAATTTCTTGAATTCCTCCTGCTCCTGGAATCATCATCTTGTTGTTACCAGTATCTGCTCCTATAGTTCCCACTTCTTTATTACGGAAAAAAAAAAAAAACTTCAATTATCTTGCTAGAAAACAATTACTCTATATATACATATTATGCGGATGATTACGTTTTTTGTATGCATTTAATGAAAGTTATAGAAAGTAAACATATTGCCACATTTCTTGACTATAAACTGTTCTTAGTACCGGATATATCCAGAACCATGCATGACATGATAAATAATGTAAACGAGGTTAATTTTCGCTCCATCGATCAGGTGGATCTATCTTAACAACGAAGACTAATCTTTTGATATTAAACATTTATATAAAAATTAAAACTTTCGAAGTTTATACATACAATAGTATATATATGTGTGTGTGGTTCAAATAGTTATAACTTCTACTTGACCAAATAAGATTTTGATTTACTTTTTGTCTTTATTTTATTCTTCAGTGGATTTGGGGATAACATTGATTAAATGGTTTCTAAAAAAAATCAATAGCAAATAAATCAAAAGCCCATATGACAGTCTTTCTACTCAAGTAACCATGCATTTTCGCTTAAGTGAAACCGCGCGAAAGGATTTGCATCTACGTTTTTCTTTAATCGCAACAGCAAGGGGTTTTCTTCATTTACTCGAACAAAGATTTCATAAATTTGTTTCGAAATAATTAATAAAACGAGATCAAGGAATTAAACATATATGAGTTATTGATCCATACCTTTGATTACTTGCTCATGCATCATGCTTCTGTACATCTGTCCACAAAAGAAACAAGGTGTTAGAATAGCCTTCTTCCAAAAAAAAAAAGAAAATTGACCAACCAAACCTAGCTAAATGAAGTGTTGATCGATCGATGAATGATACCAGAATTCATCCTTCCATTTCTTCTGAAACTCCAAAAAAATTAAGCAACAAATTCTAAAGTTAGATCGAGATCAAGATCAACCTGAAGGTGGCTTTTCACATGAGAAATAGTTAATCCCTTGACACTCATCAATTGTAGCACAGCCTTTGGAGTTGCTCCTGTCAATCAATATTATTCCACCAATCCAATTACACCAACAAAAAAAAAAAAAAGAAACCCCCACATTTCAAGATTAATTAATCAATCCAAATGATCTATCAAAACAGATCAAAGGGTATAATAATTGATAAATAATAAACACACACAATAGAAAAAGGGGTCTAAAAGTTGGTGAAATTACTTTCTTCTCCTCCAAGTCGTTGAACGGCATGCACAAAGCACTGATGAAGATCATGAGTCCATCTAAGTCTAGGGACTTTAGATCTACTGTATGGCCTAACCCGACTTCTAACATTGTTGGTAATGTTGTTGCTACTATTGATGCTGCTTTGAGACGGGGTTTGTTCCGTCTTTTGAGCCGGAATCTCGACGGTCGACTTGCCGCTTTCCATGGAGAAAGAAGGAGAATTGACACTCACGAGGTTGTTACTAACAAAGAGTTTGTCACAGTCTAAGTTCTTCATTTTTTTGGGGGAAGAAAGAAAGGAAGAAAGGGAAGAACGGAAAAAAAGGAAGTGAAAATGAAAATGAAAGAGGTTTTAATTGTGTCCATGTAGAAGAAACAAAAGAAGGAATAAATATGAGTGGGGGACTAATGTGCTTACAACACAATATTTTGGCTGGATTTGCATTGCTTTTTGGAGGCTTCCAGTTTCAGTTTCATTTTCATTTTTTTTTTTCTTTTGTTGGGGTGACTAAAAATTTGATGGTGATGCTGAAAAACTCTGCCAAGGCCGGACGGAAGCAAATTAATCCAAATCCAGGTGATAAAAACACTAGCTGTGATAAAGTTCAAAATAGCATTCATGATTTGGAGTACTGAAACTGAACTGAAAAAGAATGAATTTCTAGAGTTCAACTAATGGCCAAGTTGGATGGACTGGATCGATATGGATGCAGTAGAAGATTTTCAGGTTTCCTAATTTCCCACGCCCGGAAAGTTTCCACTCGTGCGCTCACCCACACTCACACACTACGTACGTGCAGTCCCACACTTGTAAGAACTCATTTAAAAAAAATCATGCGTTTTTTTTTTTTTTTTGGTATTAGATATGGGTGTACAAATATAACAGCTCAATCAACATCAAAACATTCCAATGTTTTCCGTGTGGTTACAATTTTGTATACTTTTATTATTCAATGAAGCCCCGGCCAGTTAGGAAATTGTCAGTCAATATTGTTTATTTCCGTTCAACTCTAACTCTTGACACTTGGAGACACACTATGTATATTTATTTGTAACAAAAACTGACATTTTTAATATACTGTTTTCCATTCCAAAAAAAAAAAAGACTTGCTTTTTTAACACCAGACAGAATATATCATACTCTCTCCATTCCATAATTATTGTTCAATTGAAATTTCACTTTTAGTATAAATTAAACTAAACATAAAAATTCAAGTTGGATAATAATTTCAAGAAGAAGCGAGTACTATAAAAGATAATTGTAATAAATCAAAGATTAGAACCAGTCTCGGATGCCTTTTTCGAAAATTCTATTCCACATTTCTTTTTTTTTTCTTCTTTTTTTTCATCAATGAATTCGTGCATTATTATCTGCCTGGTCATGTACGCGGTAGGAAAAGTACAAAAAACTAACAACTACTAACTTAATTTGGATAGTAAGGAAGTGCATGAAAATCACAAACACCAATTTTGGCTTTTACTAGTTCAATTTTGTTTTAAAAAAGAGAGAGTTAATTTAGTAAATGCTACATTAGCAAGAAAAAAGAAAACGGAAAGGACAGTATAACAAATTCCAAATATGAGCGAAACTGAAACGATGAAGGTGACATGGGCAAATGCATGTCCTTTAGGAAACATTCCAAAATAACTCCCCTACGTACATACGTGCGCACTCCATTAAAATTCCTCCACACATCTCCAAAGTTCAAAACTATAATCATATCCTCTTAATCTTTTACCCCTTCCATCAAATTTAATAATTCAATTTATTATACTACTTCTGTTCCTAAAAAATCATCTGTATTTTGAATTTTTGAATTTGAGACAGAAAAGAAATTGTATAATGGAGGAAAGAAGTAACAATTATTCTTTTCCTGCTGAAGCCTTCATACGTAATCCGCACACAAGTGTAAGATGTACCTGTAAATCTTCATGCGATGACATTTGGACAATTCCCACATGTGTACATCATCCCCCTACGTTCTTAGACGGAGACTCTTAGGTTTAACACATTTTTTGGATGGATATGATGGATCAGGTATATCTACTCATTTCTTCTCTTAAGTTGATAATGTGACACAAAATATTCGTTTTAACTCATCACACAAGTTATAACATATAAGTTGGAATATGATAAAAAGGAATAAATGAAAATAATTCAGGGAAACAATGTTCTCTAGTTGTTTTTTTTTTTTGTTTGGGGGTAAGTATTATGAGTTATTGTAAAATAAAAATACAACTAATTCAACGAAATAAATTATTCAAGTAGAACAAATGAAATCATTACATTTGCAATGAACATTGCTATATGTAATGGGGCTTTAATTAGCATTTCTCTAGAAAGTGACCCCAAAAAAAAGAAAGTTAAAAAAGAAAAACGAGAATATGAAGGATAAGGGAGAGGGCGTAATGATGTCTTAAATTAGGGATGAAGTGTTTCCTGAGGAGGGGGCTGGGGGTTGTGGAATCAAAAAGCCCAAAAATACAATGGGAATGGCGTCATAGGAATGTGGGCTGTAAGTATAATGTACATAGTAATTCCATTGCTGACGAGATTAATAAAGAGTAATGAAACCAGAAGCGGTTTCAAGTTGAGGAATCGAATATTTGTTTGGACGTATTTGAGATGAGAATGAACAAGTGTCTCTCTTATTTCGTCACCAATTTATACAGTGTACTAGCAGCAACTAGTATTGATTTTGAATTCAACGATTTTTTGCCTGCAAAATTAGTACATACAGTAGTATTTCGGATTTTTTATTTATTTATTTTTTTGTCTTCTTGGCCTTAGATGAGAACAAAACACACAATTAAAATAACAAAAATTCTAAATAAAAGTGTGTTTCTTTTTCCCTATTTCCATACAGCTTCTTTATGTCCTCCCACGGTAATACTAATTTTTTTTTTTTTTTGCGGTAATACTGATTATTAATCTTACATTCAAAACCACGCATGAACCCTGAAATTTTTTTTGATGGGGGACATTGGGCTTGTTCTCACTGTGTATTTTTTTTTTTTTGGTTTAACAAAATGAATAATCCCCTACAAGTCCAAACTCATCATAGATCACTTATTCTGTATAGAAAGGTGACGTCAAAGCCCATTACAGTATATTCTTTACTGTTCTAGCCCATTTGCAAAAAATTTGTACTCCCTCTGTCCCAAAATTATTGTCCAATTTGAGATTTCACTTTTAGTACAATTTGAACTAAAAATGAAAATCCAAACTAGACAATAATTATGGGACGGAAGGATTACTTGTTTTTCCAGCCGATATCAGCTGTGAGCCCAACTGGAAGTGATCAAGAGATACAGTTATCAATTACAAAATGTCTTCCTAAGTTGTATGTAAAAAAAATAAAAAATAACAAATGTCTTAAAAGGCATTCCAAATGGATCAACAAGTAGTGGATGAGCTTTCCTTTGAAATTAATGAAGAAATCATCTCCAAAAACTTTGTAAGGATTTCAACAAATGCTGTGGGAATTAATACAATTGATGATGATCACATACATTTCCAAAAAATAAACTAAAAATACAATTGATCTCATTATATAGCTCGAGTTGAGCTTGATGAACTAATTAGCCTGTTGCTGTTCTATCCGTGTAAACAAACATTGGTGTCAAACTCTCATGACTGAATCAGAAGAACCCTGCTCCTGTTTCACAGAGGTCTGGTGTGACGTCCCGACGCCCTGCCGCAAAGTAGGGCATTCTTTGGAATTGGATATTCATCCCTCATCGAATTCGAAGGTGCATATACCCTCATGTAGAACTGCTGCCCTAAGTACTGTCTTTCCCAGGTTTCCGACCTTATGTTCCACATTCCCATGTTGTCCAAAGCAATGTATATTGCTGTCCATGACTTGGGGTATACCTGAATCATTCATTCATATTTGTGTAAGTTTTAAATAGACCACTTCACTTGTTGAGATATCAGTTTTGCCTAAACAGAAATATGAGCAGCATTTACCTGAGTAGTACACCGGTAAACTGCATCTCTCAAATTGTATTTTAGTCTACTTCCTGGAGTCCATTGCCCTCCATCCATTCTGTTTTATCCACATTTTTTAGTTAGAAAGTAAAGAACAATGACTCCATAGCAGCCTTTAGATTCTTTCTTTTTGTATGCCACGGAAAAGCAAAACAAAAAAAAAACTTACCCAACGACAAAGAAAGAATTGCCATCGATATGCCATGTCTGGAAAGTGTTTTCCCAGTTTTGGAACACAATTTCGTAGAACCCTCTGTAATCAGCATGCATCACAGCGGTTGACAAATAGGCATTGCCACTTGTTGGGTAGTCAGAGATGCTCCCAAGATTATACACTCCCCCTATTTTGAAGTAATCGGCCAACTTCAAAGGCGTATCGGGCTGAATGTATGAGACCCTATTCACAGCATATCTCTGCTTCCCATTAATATACTGCGCAGAGTTGGCAAGAACGATTGTACGTTGAGGCTTGACCAGTCCATAGTGATAGGACCCTTGCGGATTAGGCCTTGGTGCGCTTGCTGTCAAGTTCCGGCTGGTGACATAACAAATCAACTGCATTGGTAAGAACTTTGTACAAAAGCCTACTGATAATGATGAAGATTGCAAATTGAAAATGCAACAGAGTTCTTTGTATAGCAACGTCACTGACAACATGACTTACCGGATTGACCTGGCCTGGTAAAGGGATGAAACAATGTCAGAAGTAGGCCCTCCAGGGACAGGACCCGAAACTTTGGTCCACGAGTTACTGTAGTGGAGAACAGCAGTTGTGTTGAGAACGTGATTATTAAACCGTGAAGAAACAACAAAGTAGTAATCCTTTGGAGCCTGGTTTGCAGTTACTAGGACAGAAAACGATTGTCCTGGATGAACATCTATTGAAGAATAGAAGTTCTGGATGGTATGAGATCCTTCAACCTCCACTAGTTTCATAGCATGTCCTTGAATTCTGACGTTAAGGGAAGTAGCAATCCCAACATTCGATATTCTAAACCTGTATGTCCTTCCTGCAAAAATTAAACCCGAAAGAAATAAAAAAAATGTAAAAGTTGAATGAGAAGGCTTAAAATGCTACGCAATTAAATAAGACTCTTACCAGGTACAACTGTAAATGTGTAACCATTCCAGCCACGGCCATTAATCAAAAGCCCATCTGGAGCAGGAAGACTGCGCCCGCTATCCAAGATATACCGTAATTGCTGCAAAATTATAATAACATTGGTAGCTGTCTTAAAACTTCTCATCAGTTTCCTAACATTTAGGCTAAAGGTTGCTTACTTTGTGACTTTGCATTTTGAACCAATCCCCAGTCAGCACAATAAAATCTCCATCAGGTCGTGGGAATGGTACGGGTATCTGAGGACGGCTATATACTTTAATTGAACCAAAGCCCCCGAAAGCCTTCTGCATTCCAAGGGAAGGGAAGTAGAAATAGGAACCAATCTGGTCCTTTGCCTGTAGCATGTAAGTGAAGTTTTTGCCGGGTGGGATAGGGCAGGTGGTGCCTTGAACTCCATCTTGCCATGAGTTTTTCCTTTGTTGTATGCCATTCCTGGTTGAACAAACACAAAAGCTCTTAAAATGATTGCATGAACCATATTTTTTTATGAGTAACTCACAGCCATTTCATGATTGTTAAGCCTCAAATGTGACCAAGGCAAGATAGTTACTGGCACACACCATTGTCTATAGAAACCATTACTAAATCGCTGAATTTATCATCAATACTAGGGGTAGTTCAATGGCACGTTTATAACTAGAGAACAGTTGCAACAAAATTAAATACTGGATTCCTATCCAATCACTATGGAATCCTAAGGGGTCAACACAAAATGGTTGCTTGACTTTTACTGAAGCTTGCATTTTCAGTTCAGATTAAAGGGAAGTTTGTGATTTGCCCCAAGTCAAAAGCCAACAACACCATAAACTAAAGAGTGCAATTTGATTAGTCAAATGACCACAATGGGTGAACCGAACTCTTCCCCATGCAAATATTCTCTAAAAATTTCACAACTTCTGCTCAGAAAACAAGCAACTTAACCATAGTCAACCATTCATAAAATGCAAGTTGGTACTTGGGATGAGTAGATTCAGGTTCACAACATTAATTATATTCAATATGTTTCAAATCTGGAGATCACACATGTGCCAGTTACTACTAAAATCAGATCTCTTCTCTGTCTCACTCTCAGCCAGTTGTAATCACAAGTTTTTTATTAACCAGTCTTGCGAGAGATCTTGGAACAGCTAACTTCAGTAAAAGCTCATGGTAATTAATCAGAGAATTACCACGTCAGAAACAAAATCTACTACTACTACCATTTATTTGGTGGACCACTAAATTTCACACTTACTGTCAGTTTGTCACGGGAGTAATGCTAATAAGCAGCAGAATAAGCTTTACTACTTTCTATGCCAAGAATAAAGCATAAATTTAATTTTGCCCTTTTTCGTTGGTTTTCGTGTACGGAGAAGAGTATTTTTCTTAAGTACCATTAGGATTAAAAAAAGCAGCGTACATTCTGAAATTAATGACATTTAAAACTTCAGTGCAAGTACTAAAACCTATGTATATTAAATCGCTGGGAGCCCATATTTTCATATTAGCAATCACTGAGCCAAAGTTAAAGAAAGCAAAACAGATCTGGATGACAGGGTACACTTTCCAGCTCATGCAAAGTGCAGAATAATTGAATCCTTGAAGCTATGGAACTAAAGTCTGGATCCCAAATCCAATCTCATCATTGTTGAGTCCAAAAAGAACGAAACTTTATTATGGATATGGCAGAAATTTTAAAAGGGAAAAGGGAGGTGTTGGCAGCTAAAAAAAACTTGCAGACTCAAAAGAAAAGCTTACCAAGAAAGGAGGAAAGGCTCATCCAAGTAGTTGTAAACACTGATAATCAAGTTATCATTTGTAACGCAGTCAATATGTGGCCCTGGAAACTGCCCATTTATCAAGATTCCCTGCAGCAGTATCACATTCCGCAATTCTTTTAGCCCACAAACATTGTTCAAGAACACAATGACATTACAATGTAAAAATGAATTCAAATCTTTTAAGCAAGAACAAATTTAAGTTACAAATGTTCACAAGCTAAATTTACCTGTTGCTTGACACCCATTGGGTAGATATCACCATAAGTGATTTTCCAAGTGTAATATCTATAAGGGTTGTCTCCATTGGCTCCATTCAGAACAAATGCAAGCACAACAACAATGCCAATGAGAGAACACAACAATGTGCTTCTGTATTCTCCCATTAGCCTCATTCTTTTCCTTTGCTTTCTCTACCTTACTTCCTACTTGTTTATGCAACAAAAAGAGGCACTCAAGAAAACTCAAATAATGATAGCTTTCTGCTTTGATAATCAGAGGGATGACAGATTCAGGGAAACAGGACAAAGTGTGTAGTATATATAAAGAGAGGCTTGTGAGGAGCTTTGCTCAGCTGTCAGTGAGAGATGATGGGGTGGGAAGGAAGGCTGAGATAGGGAGGGAAAAGGGATTAATTAAATAAGCATTTTTAATACTTCTTATTCTGAGGAGAAATTGGCAGAGATGAAGTCAGAAATGAAAAGTGATGATTATCACTGTGATTTCTTCAGAAATTGAATTTTCTTTTCTTTTTTCTTTTTTCTTGATTGGGATCGAAATGGCGCAGTTAGCGTCGTCACGTGCGCTCTATAACTGGCATCTTTCGGTGGAACGCGGTTTTTATCATTTCTCTTCTTCTTCTTTTTTTTTTTTCTTTTTTATTTTTAATATATATACGAATTATTGTAATTTGTGCCAAAAAAAATTAGAAGGTATTTATTGTAATACGGAATTTATGGATGATTAGAATTAAGACAAATGATTGGTTTTGACTCAGAAATTTAAAAGTTTTGAATTTGTTTGAATGTTGAAATAAGTCGTTTAAACGGGTTTTTTTTTTCCTTCAAAAACATAAAAATAAAAGAAAATGACGTGAGATGAAAATGAATACGTGAAAACTGGAATAAGATATCTAAAACATAACTTTAAAAGCTATCAAATTAGTTGCAGATAAATTTTGATCATAATTATCGCTGTGTTCAATCAAATTAATTTAAAACGAAAAGAAAATAGTAGCAATTTGTACGACTGAACTCTCTGATTAAAAATTTCTCAACCTCTTCTCCATTTCTCGCCCCTTGAACATGGCAGTTGACTTTGTTCATTACATGGTTTTTTTTCTTTCAAATATATATTGGATTCGAAATTGAGGGGAAAAATAATTAATACTCTATATTGGATTGGAACTTTAATGCACAATCCTTCCTTAGCTTGTCAGAAAAAAAATAAATTAAAGTACAGTTGAATCTTAGTATATATGTAAAAAAGAAGTTTAAAGTTCTGAAACATCAGATATATTTAATTAATTAGTATAATTTGCATTGTTTGAATTTCTCCTAATGTCTCATTGATCAGTCTATAAGATTGTTATATTGTTTTCATTAAATATAATAAAAAGGGATGGCAGAAGGTATGAATCGGTGAAAATCTAATAGACAAAAACGATTTTGTTGCCCTCATGCATCTCGTTTGAATGAATAATAGTGAAGCTTTTTTATAATATAAAAAAACATAGTAAACTTTTATATAAGCTCTTTAAAATCTGCTTACACTGCTATAGGAAAGAAATTTCTCGAATTAAGATGTGACGATGATGACAAAAGTGGCCGGAGACGGAAAGAGCAGTATTAATGACATCTTCATCGAATCTGCGTCTTTTTCTTTTTTTTCTTTTTTTTTTGGCCTGAATATATTGTGTTTTTACATTTTTGCTTTGCAATAATTACACTTTCCTTTCGGTGTGTTATGGAGGAAATAATGTAAATGTTATGCTTTGATGACTGGCGAAATTAGTAATTAACAAGAAAATATAGGGGTAGACCGGCCGTAGTACACGTAGCGTTCGTAAACCATAATATAAGGTCGTCATGATTAAATTGAAATTATTAATAATTGCTTTTTGAGAACGTCAGTCATGATGAACTCCATTTATTTTAAATCTACAAAAGTACAAAAAGAATTTTGAAAACTCGTACTGGAGCTAGAAAAACCAGCAAACATGCTCAAAAACACAAGATTTGTCTACTTTAATAATCATCTATTCATTCATTCGATGTCTGCTTGAGTCGGGGCTTAATTACAGGCCAAAAGTCCAAGCCAAATAACAAGTACAATCCTTAATTGCTTTCTGGAGCTACTGCTCTTCTCCTATTAAAAACGAAGCAACAATATGAACGACGATGTGATTTTGTTTAAGCCACACTTACTATCTCCAAATGAAGTTTTAAGTTTGATTTTTCGTGATAATGCAAAGTTAAGGTCGCTTTGTGTCCCGACATTTGTAATTAGGACAAGTTGAGTTAACTGTGTTGTAACTTGTACATGTCACAAAGTCACCCAATGTTTCCTAGTTGGAGCCTACTTTTTTATGGCGAAATTTCAAGCTCACACCAAAAAATAATATTCTTCTATATCCTAAAATAAAAAATATAATAGATCACGTTATAATTTGTTACGATATTGAAAACAGTACAAATATAATAATGATTCACATTAAGTTTTCAAACTTGTATTGTTTTTACCACAAAATTCAAACTCCAATGTACATTATTTTTTTTTTTAGGCAGAAATAGTATTTCTTTTTTTTTTTTTCTAAGGACGGAGGAGTATCATTCAAGGATTCAAGGGAAACAATGTTATCATCTGAAAAATTGCACAGTGCTTGGATGACAAATGGGATCACATTATAACAATGAATACCATCAATAAAGAAATTTTCCAGCGAGCATAAAACATTGAAGTCCAAAAAAATTCCCAAGATTGACCAGATTTTGAATAAAGATATCACATGCTCATGGCCTCATCATCCACATGCAGACTGCATAATGGCGTAGAGGTTGGAGATTCAATTGAGACCATACATTGTGTCCTCCTAAGCCTAAGGTACGCGTTTTACGCTTGATTTTTAAGTATATTGCTTAAACTGTGTTCAGCACAAATTGTTTAATTTGGACAATTATTGCAATTAAGTCATGGAATCTAAGGAAGAAATCATCTTTTTGAACGTCCTACAACTTAATGTGTCCCCCCAAAAAAAATCCAGTAATTTTTTGCTTATTTATTGTCTTCAATATTAACAGATTACATATACATACCAGTTGAATTTTTATGATAATGAGAATGCCGAATACATATATTTTTCAGTAGATTAATATTTTGGGATTTTTTTTTTTCCTTTCCTTTACTGGTGAATACATATATCGTGCATTTCTTTGGTAGTTAAATTGATACAGTGCGTTGAGCACTGATATTTTTTCAAGAATTTTCCTCGATACTCTAATAATTGATCACGTAACGAAATTATAACTTGAGAAGTCGTTATATATATATATATATATATATATATTCATGAGCATTTACTAGACTCACACTACACATGGCAAATTGTTTGACTGTAGCTCTGTAAGTAATAAGTAATAACTTAAGACTAGGAAATTTAATGAAAAAACATGTTCAGTCGTTGACTTCACCAATCAATGCATCCAGCAGCAAGAATATGGCCTCCACCGATGCCAAATTTGCAAATGGTTAAAACCAACAAATTATATATGTCCGATTTCAACAACCGGGGTAGGTGGTGGAACTCTTAATGGACGCGGTTTCCGGCCGACGAGGATCTTCATTTTTAACTGCAATCATAATACACCCTCTGTCCCAAAATTATTGTCCAGTTTGAGATTTCACTTTCAATACAATTTGAACTAAAAATAAAAACTTAAATTAGACCATAATTATGGAACGGAGGGAATATATCGTTCCTTCATCATGAAAACGTTGAATGTGTCGTGTAACGTTTGTTTGTCGCCGGAATTCATACATATATAACCAACTTACTTTTGTACGTGTGTGTGCGTGTATTATTATAATTATTATTATTAATTTTTTTTTTTTGAGTTTGAAAATTGACAAAATTCTGAAAATCACTTTATACATAAATGGGCAAGGGAATTAGTACGTCATTACAATTTCAGATCGATATCCATGAAATTGTGTAGATAGAGACAAATTACAAAGGCCAAGTACGTCTTGTATGATTGATTGGGGACCAAGATATTTGCATGACCATCAAACTAATTAATAATTGTGCTGAAAAATTGAAACTACAAGTACACAATTGTTTTTCCTTAAATGTGTCCAATTGCACCATCCTATCTTCATCTAAATCGAAGTAGAAAGCATGCCACCATATAACTATGGATTATGGAACCCATGGGCGGCACAACTGCAACAGTCCAGGGTCCTAAATCAAGTATTCGGAATATAATGCTCGTTATTAGCCCAAATTAATATATATTTTGATTTGTCCTAACTTATATATTATAATATTATATTATTTCGATTGAAAATAAAATTTTAAAAATATTTTATAATAGTTGGGAGAAGATAATAAATGTGAAAATACCATTTTTAATATTTTATTTTCAATTGAAAAAACATACTAAATGAAATTTAGAACGAATCAACCAAAATAAGTAGTATGTTAGGGGAAAAATATATCCGGGATCTAGCAATTACTGGATCTTTGTCCGTTAGAACTTTTGATGTAAGTTGTTTGTTAGAAAGACCTACAGTTGACTATCAGGTACTATGTACAGGGCTGGAGTCCGTATAGATAATAGAATCCATCTTAATCCCAAAGGAATTTATTTGATAAAAAACTTTAATACCACTTTCATGCGGCGGGGATAGCTCAGTTGGGAGAGCGTCAGACTGAAGATCTGAAGGTCGCGTGTTCGATCCACGCTCACCGCAATATTTTTTGAATTGTTTTCTACGGTCGGATCATATGCCATGTACCAGTTTTCCCTTCACCATGCGTCTTGACTTTTGAGAAATTTTTTTTTTACTCCCCCAAAAAGAAATAGTCATATTTTTTTTTTAAGAAGAAGAAATAATAACCCAAAAACAGAAATGAAAATCAAGGTTAGGCTACAAGAGCCTATGACGTTCATTTTACCATGGGTCTTTCACACTATATCTAACAACAAATAAAGAAATAATTTACTTTTATATACATGATTACACATTCACACTAAACTAATTTAACTAGATTTTAACAACGTAACCGACTACATGAGAAACCAAACACTAGCACAAGCTAGCATCATTAAACTACTCACACATCAATTGATCCTTGAGAAATCTCAAAGGAAAACAAAAACAACTTCAATTATGC